GCAGCGAGTACATCACAGTGACACTCTCCCTACTCATTGCTGCCCCCCCTCTACTGACACTCCTCCGCCTGCTCTATCTCTCTCTCTCTCCTGAGGCTTGCTGGTTGTTCATGACCATCCATCTGCACCAGTGATCAGGTGGTTTCAAACAATGCCTTTGACAAGCAGGTGTGGCTCCTCTGAAAGGTGCTTTTTGGTGTAATGTGGGAGATGGGGATGAGAGGTTGAGAGGAGAGTGTCAATAGATGTGTGTGTTTATGTGTGTGTGAGAGGTCCAGGTATTACTTGTGTCGTGGGGACCTAAATGTATTTCAACTCTCATTATGCTGACAGAAACCAAGTCCCGGTAATATAAATGATAAGATATGCTTTATGGTTAAGATAAAGGTTTCGATGAGGCGAGCAGTAGTTAGGGTTAAGGTTAAACCAAGTCTCCTGGAAAATAAGTCAATGCAATGTCCTCTGAAGCCATGCGGACATGACTGTGTGTGTGTTTGTGTGTGTGTGTGTGTGTGTACAAGAGTATACTATTGCCTCGTTTGTCCTTCCCTGGGGTGCTTTGGGTCCAGACTGTCTGTTGTCTTTCAAGTGTGTTTGGCGTCTGCCAGTTGCAGCTCGTGAGGTCACATGTTCTGACCCTCCTGTACAGAGTGATTAGAAATGACAAGCTGCCAACTACACATTTCTTCATGTCACTTTAATTATTGCTTGTGTGTAACCTTGACCATAGATCAATGATTAAAGATTATACCACTGAGCTAAAGGGCTGAATTCCAAAACAAAATAGATTTTTGTATGAAGGTACAGCAGCTCTTGAAGGGTTAATCTGACCAAGAAAACAACTTCTAGTACCTCGACCTTTTACTTGTCCAGGTTTTAAAGGTACAGTGTGTAGAATTTTGTGTTAGATAATGTTGAAATTGCATGTTGCAGCTGAACACCCCTCACCCTCTCCTTCCAAACATGTAAAAGAACCTGTGGCAGCCTTTAATTGTCATGAAAACTTAAAAGGTGTTTAGTTTGTCCAGTCTGGACTAATGTAAAAAACATGGCGGCCTCCATAGAGAGGGTCCCCTCAGTGTAAATATAAAGTATTTGAATATAAAGGGCCTTTTCTGGGGTAAAGAAAACTACAATTCATACAATTTAGATGAAATGAACTAGTGAAAACATCATGATGATTATTCTACATTAAATTTCTGCCAATAGTTCCCTTTCACCTAAATCTTACACACTGGACCTCTAAGATCTGTTTTTGAATTTAGAAGGGAGAAGAATTTTGTTTGTGCTGCTCACTGCATTGGAAAATTAGTTTTGGAAACAAGGGAGTTACTCTTGATAAATCACAGCAACTGTGATTTGTTTTCTTTTTTTCATTACTTTCTAATCTTAGACTGGGTAATTCCATCTACCTTCACCAACAAAAATAAAGTAGAAAATCAATTCCTTTAACAAACTTAAAACTCAAATTTTGTCAAAGGCAATATGCTCAAGAAGAACCAATTTATCTAATATGTTCAGTGATCAGAGTTTATATCTGCAGTTTGGGAATTTGTGAGGAGAATGAAATATTAAGACACCTTTTCAAATAATACTGTCAACTACAACACCAAACACATAATAGTAACCAATAATTAACTAAGCACATTAAAATGGAAGCAGTATTAAAGCTCCATGTACATTTTGATCATAAAGCAGGTCTGGGACGTTCAGAAAATACTTCAAAATTGACCATTAATGCTCCTGTAACTTTGTGATGTCACAACAAAACAGTTACCATCCTCAACCCACTCGGACCCACTCTCTAACCTTGTAGAATTAGTTTATCTGTGTGAGCCCTGATTAGCCTGATCATGTGTCATTCAACAAACACTCTACTACTGTTTTTGTTACTTAAAAACCACAAATATATTTTAGTAGATATATTGAAACTTAAGACAAAAGACTTCAAGTGTAAAAATAGGATCTTTAAGAGAAATTGAAGATGTACACATGTAAGGTGACAAAGGGATACTTCACTTCCATTTGCATCTGCGTAACTTATTTTCCTTGGTCAGCAACACTTAACTACAGTTGAGAAACTATTGACATGCCGTTGATGATGCTATGATACAACAACAGCCATGTGATTGAATGTATTTCACTCAACAACAGTCTGAGTGGTGTTTATATCTTAAAATTGGATGTCGCGATCCATTAATTCTCTGATTTTCCAAGTCAACAAAACGAGTGTGTGGTCAGCTTGGTGGTCTCCTTTGGCCTCATCACCTGTTACCTTAGCGTTTCTCTGAGCTGTAATCTTTTCTGGGAGCGTGTGTGGGGGTTTCAAAGCCGAAGTTTCTGACAGATGGTAGGGGCCAATGCCAGCGTAGGCCTGGGCGAGAGGCCGGGTACATGGCGGGCCCGAGTGAGAGACAAACCACACACAGCTAATCTGGCTTGCCATCAAACCTCTTGGCAGCTCTCTGAGGGTAACAATTACCGAAGCAAGGTGCTGTAGAGCCACCGCTTTGAAAATGAAATGAAATGAGTTTTCTCCTCCTTCGTTACATTCAATACAGAAATGTTGATTACCTTTCAAACGTGGGTGCGGTTCCCTTTCTTCCTAATCCACTGGGAAATATAAAGCAGATTCAACAGACAGACACACAGAGAAAGAGCCGCTTTGTGTTGTGCCTCAGTGTTTAACATTTACTCACTCCAAATCTCTCGCTCAGGCAGTATATTTGGTTTAAGGGCTGCAGGAAAGACAGAAGCTTTCAGTGAAAAACTTGAGCTAAAAACGTCAGTTTGGGGACAGACAGGGCTGACTGTAATGAGGCACCGAGGGGCCCTGTCAGAGACGAGACAAAAGACCCCAATGGAGTCCTTCACACTCACGGGGGTGAGTGCCAATTCTTCTGTCCTCCCCCTCTGGGTTTGATTCTCTGAGTGGCTCTGTTCTACTCTTAGCCACTGATCAATACGTCCTGTTCTACTCTTCTCTGGTCAGCTTGTCACTGAGCCCGCGGGGAAATGTGAAGAAATGGCAGAGTTCCATAAAAGTAGCTGTGCACCCCCCCCGCCCCATCAGCTGCCAGGCAGTACTACCCGACATCTGTTTTTGTGCGAGCTGATACTGCCCATGAGGAGCAGTGACTGAAGACCTGTAAACCAGTGAAGGATCCAAGTGTGGTGTTAAGAACATGCATATCATCATCTTCAGCATCAGGCTTGGTTCTATTTTATCCTTTTATATAGATATATATTACAACAGTGTATTAGGGTAATTTAAAGGGATGAAAATTTGAGATTTCGAGAATAAAGTCCCAATGTTACTAGAATAAAGTAATAGAATTATGAAAATAAAGTTGTAATATTCCAAGAATAAATTACTAAGATTGCGAAAATAAAATTATAATGTCATAGGAATAAGTCGGAATATTATGGGAATAAAGTCATCGAAAACTAGGATTTTATTTTTGTAACATTCCGACTTTATTCCGGCTATGTCTCTCTTTAGAGGGGGGATATCAGAATGTTATCATACTAACAAACTCTGCTAAGATGCTAAACATGGTAAATATGTAAATAAGTACAGTCTGTTAGAGCAGCTACTGTTGATTTACACCGTGAAAGTGTGTTCAGGCAAAAGGAGAATTTTTGACGTCTGTTATTTGCACAAATTTGACTGAGACCTTATTTATTGGCCCCAAACAATCAGAGAACACTCGTTGGCTATGGCGACATACTGTCATCATGTAGATGATCTCGTATCGTGAGGAACTGTGGTATTACTATGGTATGCAATGCCTATGGTATACTATGTACTACAGTTTTCCATGCTAAGATTTCCGTTTGTGTTCAGCTCACGTTGAATTCTAAATTCGTTTCAGTTTGTTATTTCCTTGGAGTCTCTCCTCCCGTCCCTGCATGTTTATGAAGCAGACTCATGAAGCCCCAGGACATGCACACGTCTCCCCCTCAAGATCAGACACTCACTTCATGTGGACGTGTCTTTATTGGCAATCGGGTCACCTTTAGCATTTGGCATTGTGTTGGCATGCAATTTGACTTTCTCAGCACATATAAGCAATCAGCGGCTCATTAGTATTTCATGCCCATTTTCTCTTCTTCTCACCTGAAATGAGATTTAGGAGGAAGATTCCCAAAGAATTACGTTAATTCCCAAAGAATTATGTTTCCTCATGTTTCAATTTACTTTCAGTGCCAATGCAGAGTTAAGCCCTATATGTACCAAAGCAGATTGTGATCTGCAATTAATATTCGCCTTATGTAGTGTAACCTAGATCCTTCCCCAACTTTGAAGATGTGTTTGAATTGCTTAACCTTTACAACTTTCTAAACTAAAGCAAATCTTTTAGAAGCCTGGTCCTAATCACAACGTGCTGCTGTCATATTAATCTAGCCGAGTCCTAAAATCGAATTATCTTACAGAAAAACATGTGATTACGTTAAGGGGTCCTAAATGAGTCAGTCCATCACTATTATTGATAAATAGTGATTTTGATGATTAATGATTATTTTGATTAAAGCTGGTGTTTGTAGGCCTACTGTTTAATTCAGTATAAATGCTGGTGGCAGCGCTAGAGCCTACAAGGAAGGCAACCTAGTTTATAAATGATTATTCATTATTTTTGCATTGATTTCTTTTTTCCAATCAAACTCCTGCCCTGTTGCACCACCAGACTGCGACACAACCCTGATCAATATCTACTTAAATTTAGGTACATGTTAGTTCATTTTACACCAGTAATTTTGAAATGTTTATTCATATTTGAAAAATAATTACGTTATGTCCATATAAAGAATATCTAATGACAAAAGTAATAATGTCAGATGGAAAAAACTGTTTCATAAGATTAACACATTTCACATAGATAGATAGATTCAATAATACAAGAATATTATACTGCACTTGCACTTTAACAGTAAAATGTGTGTGATTAAAGTTTTAAGACGCAGAAAAAGAACATTCCTCAACAACTATGTTTTGCATAAAACCAAGATAAAGCATAAGAACATTAGAGCAGAGGAGATTTACAAGTCGAGAAAACCCTTTTCTCTTTGCTTATCCCAGACACTCTTAAGGATTGATGCAATCTCCGTCGAGTTTTACACCTCCCTGCAAGTCATGACCAGACATGAGACAAAGAAAAGAGCTCATCTGATCCAGTATCTGTGTCAACGCCGGTTTAATGTTTGTGTTCTCTTCACAGCTAAATGTTAAACAAAAAGTTTATTCTCGCTCCGCAGAAAGCAGTAAACATCTGAAAAAGAAAAAGAAAGTGGAAAACAACCAGTGTTGAGACAGAGCGTTAAAAATACTCCCGTGCCCTCGCTCAGCTGCAGTCAGATGGAGATCTGGAGAGAGGAGACACAGGAAGAAGTCAGAGGACCTGAAATAGCCTCCTGAAATAGCCTGGAGCATCCAGGGAAAGAGACCTGCCTCCGCCTGCTGTTAATTCCCCTCTGTCCTTGAATGTGTGTGCGGTCATGTGAGAGTGTATAGAAATAGGTGTTTGTGTGTGTGTGTGTGTGTGTGTGTGTGTTTACCCTCCCACAACCGCTCCTGCATCCATTTTTTCTTTCCCCTCCCTCTCTCCTGATTCGATCTAAATAAAAGCCACCCTGTTAAATTGAAGTGTCAGGGTGCGAATCCAAAATGTGTTTAAGTGAAACAGGATTTTTTTATGAGTAAACATTTAATTCCTGCACATTCTCACTCATGTTTATTCATTTATGACGCAGCGATGAAGTAATGTTTCGTTTTGGTTGCTTGCACTATTCATTAGCCTGTGTATTGCCCGAGGTGTAGCCACTTATAATGGTTGTGGAGCTGTGTTGGCAGCTATGTTATTGACAGAACCATATGGATTTAATTTCATATTCATCAGAGAAAAAGGATCCGCGAGACCGTGTCTTTGTGTGGCAGTGAGACAAATTAGGCTTTTCATGAGAGAAAGAGAAAGAAAGCAAGTGCGTGTGTGTGTGTGCGTGTGTGTGCACCTTAGATCTCAATTCCCTCCTATCTATTTTGGGGGGGAATTGTCTTTGAGACAGTGCCATTTCTGGATGCCATCATCACTCAAGCGGCCCAAGGTCTCGGCCGTGAGATGTTGCCATACATCAAGGTATTGCTGATCAATATTGATTGATCTGCACAACTTGAGGGAATATCAGTGCCCATCTCTGCCTCGCACAGCGCTCTGTTTATGTAATTAATATGGAAGACGAGTGGTAAGTCAGCCATAACTTTTTAACCTTGCAGAGAGCCCCAATAAATCACGAGCGGGGACATCAGGTGAATTGAGTTCGCAGGTGACTGCGGCCCTGCTCCGAGCTGCATGTGTGGGAGAAAACGAACATCTCCCCCAGTACACTGGTTGTAAATAAAGGGCAGCATCTACATGGGTCACCTGATGGCCTAGCTACAACATTCACTTTGCCACCTTTGTTCAAAGCTGCAGCTCGGATGTGTTTTCCTGCAGGCATTCGGTGTGTGAAGGAATCTGATGAAGGTTCTTTTTGGTTTGAGGTTTTGGCAAAAATCTGTTTTTCGTCCTCCAACTTCAACAAACCCTTTGAAACTGCTCTTAAAGGATAATAACGGCTATTTTCAAAGTATGTTTTTATTTTAAGGTCAATTTTATGAGAATTTAGTTTGGAGTCACACAATGTTCTCCCACATAACCCAGAAATATGCAAACCAAGTCCTTTTCAACTGAACTGCAGTAACACCTGTGTCTGATTCTTCAGCCTGACAATTGTGATTTCATCAAATCTTTCATATTATATCCATGGATGGAAAATAATTTGCTTCCAATGTGTGAAGTAGCAACAAAAAGTCACGTCTGCTTTATTTCTAACATATGACAGTTCTTTATTATGATGGTATATTTGTGATAACTATGAATTGTGTTTACCAAGCAGAATGAGTCTTTAAAATAACATCAGGAGGAGGTTGTGTTTTCATCTGTTTGTTTGTTGGCTTATCGGCAGCATTCATGCAAAACTACTGAACCGGTTTCCATCACATGTTGTGGAGGGGTGGGACATGACCTTGAGAAGAGCTCATCACATTTTAGTGTTGATCAGAATCAGAGGGCAGATCTTGTTTTCTCACTTTGACATTGTTAGATAGGGCGTAGGTTAATATCTTAGAGAATAATTCATGACTGGTTTTTATGAGTATGTGCAATTTAGTGCAGATTCAAATAAATATGAATGTAATGAATTTACATGTGCTTTTAAAAGGCGACAGTTGGGTTCTGTTTATTTTTACAAATATGAATATATTAATTACTCATTCAATATATAATATCTTATAATCTTTGATTGTTTTCATCAACTTGTTTCCCTCCTTTTCATGTTGTGTGTAATTACTGATCCGGGTGTTGAGCTGCAGCATAAAATTCTGCTTTGTACAAATTACATACATATTGGGTCAGGACTAAGAGATAACCTTTATCTGTTTTAATGAAAGGAAAAAAAATGTATATCTGCTTTTAAAATTTGCAGTAACTACAAAACAGACGTTCTAACTGAGCCATAAATGCAGTCGTTGCACTTTGTATTGCTGCTCAGGCTATAGTTATTGCTCTGCAACTTAGCCAAGCTCAAAGTAGTTAGCTTAGCATATCTAAGAAGCAGCCACCTCTTTTTATTTTTACTAATGAATTTTATGTAAATGAGTGCAAGCTACTTTTAAAGCATATATAAATGTAAAATGAAAATAACTAACCCAAAGATGCTTTACATGTGTCACTAAGGACACAAGTAAAAAGAATATTATTATTGTTATTATATATACATGATTTCAAATTAATATATGGTATTTATATGGTAACCAAATGATCTTAAGTTAATTTTCTTGAACACACTTGTGAGAAAAGATCAGAAAGTGAAAGACCATAGTTTGTTGATACTGCTCTCTAGAGTTAGTCTGTGAAGGCAGAGTGCATGAATAAATAAACGTACTCTGTTCAATTGAACTGCATTATGGGTAATGCTTTGATCCAGTGTTTTTGAAGCTTGACCCAGTCTATGACCAAACGTTAAGAAAACTGAAGCCTCTGCAGCCTCCTAATAAGAAGCATCCTTTCTTTAAATACACCTTTTATTACTCCCACAACCTTATAGTGTACTGTATATGGGGCTTTTTGTACATTGGCAGATGACTGTCAAATGTGATCAAACCACACCGTTTTTTTAATCTTAATAAAAAGGATGTTTTCTCTCCAACACCTTTCTTTGATTTTGACTTCAACAGAAAAATATTTTGGTTTTCAAACCAACTTTTCAGAGACTTTATAGGAGTGCAATTTATTCCTGAATATGCCATCTTAAACTAACGTTAAAAGTGATTTGCATTTTCTCCCTCAGGAGCGTTGTGAGCCTGTGTTTGTGATGGTAATGTTACCTGTTTTATCAGGGTCAAGAGATGAGATCTGGCTCTCGTGTTCTCCTGCAGTCGGGATGATAATTAGCCATATTTCCCCGCTTCTCTAATGCAAAGCAATGATACTTAAAATGAACAGATTCTGTCTGATATTATTCCAGCAGCACCTGTTCAGCTGCTGAATCAGCCCATTTCCAGCAATCAGTACTTCTGTTTGCATTTCACACTAATTCCATCACATACACATCACAGAGTGCAACTCAATCTGCTTTTAATCATTGTCTTCAGTGAATGTTTTTTTGAAAACATTTTTTAATTGCAGAGATGCTACACATGTAGTCATTATTCCTCTCTGCGCTTGCAAAATTGATGCATAATTGTAAACTTCATTTAGGCTGCAGAGTCCACTGATAATTGCATCTGTTGGTAAAGTCGTCCTAGGGAGAGTAAATAAATTACTTTCTCTTTTTTCTAAATGTTTCTACGTGCCACTTTTTATGCTTGAACATTTTAGGTCAGTATAATATTTGGACCAACATCATGCAAATGTGGTGCTTTTTATTTGCCAGTGGTTACTCATGTATTAAATCCACACTAGCTGAGCTTAACCACCAGGAACGAGAGGCACGGTGAGTTCCCTACACCCTGGGTGTTGCCACAGGCTGAAAACAAGCCACTACACCTTGCTGTTGGAGGTTGTTGGGGCTTTGTGGAGAGTGGAGACATTGCCTGCAGATATTGCTCAGGGCCGGAAAGAGCATCGATTTTATTCTGTATTTATCCCTTAAACGATCCTGGTATTAAATGGCAGTCAAACATACAAGTGTATAGCAAGGGAGTGTGTATTAGTAAAGAAACCCTTAAGCCTCGATGGGCAGCACAGCAGCCAAAATTGGACCTGTGCTAATATTTATCAATTAGTTAATAACATGTAGAAAAAAAACTCAAGATATAACTAAACACACATACAGTGAATTAATGTTGATTATATTTATATTTTGTAATGTATTATTCCCTAAAGTTAGCTTTTTGCAAATGAAAAAATAAATCATCAGGGTGAAATTCTCACTCTCGTGTGGAGGCATGTTGGGAGTGAATGAGAGAGGAGAGTGTGTGTGTGTGTGTGTGTGTGTACGTGCGCATAGGGATGATGAGGTGAAGTTTATGCATTCCGTTGTGTATGGATGCGAGTCATTGCCATAATAATAGGAGTCACATCTGCAACTGAATACCAAATGTTGATATTTTATCGCTACTGAATACCGTTTGATTTCATCTCTGCACTTCATCCATGGGTCTGATTATGTGGCTTGTAATGTAGCGGTTAGCAGCCTCCTCCATCGCCAGCAGCTTCATGACTCTGGTTATCCAGGATCACCGGTGATTGAGTGAGGCAGGTATCTCAAACAGAGACCTCAGGACAACAGACAGTGATACGGAGGTTGGCTGCCGGCCAAGTCAGACAAACTTGTTTATTCTCACCCCAGACAAACTCTGAAATAACGGACTTAAACACAACACTTAACAGGCTGCCAACAATACTGTTATGTGAGAGGTGTTGGGGTAAGAGAGTGTTAGCGTTCACCTCAAATCCACACCAGTCCAATTTCTGTCTGCCTCTTTACCCTGAGTTGTCTCTTTTTCATTTCTAGTTTCTTGCAGGTATGCCATTATGCTTAATAAAATGATGGCTGCCTTCACCTGACTGAGTGTACTAGCTAAACACTCAGAGTGAATATAAAGATGGATGACACATTTCCACTTCCTCCCACTATCTAAAATAGAGCCAAAATATCCCAGATACAAATGCTGCCATCTTGCATCGATGACGTCATGATAGTGGTATTAAGCCGTGGTATTAAGGTATTAATCACAATTCAATCTCAGTTGTCAATCAATCAAACAATGAAAGTGTTATTTGTACAGCTCATATAATAACAATTTGTCTCATATGTCTTAACAA